CTTTAATTAACATCTATTCATCAATGAGACATTTGAAACTCTGTAGATACAGCTATTTCTAATTGTCTGATGGCTCTCCTGGTCAAAACTACCTTTTTGTAACATGACTGAGTCTATGGGATTTCCTGTGTTTTCCCTAATTACCTTGTCTTAATTTTTTCTGCTTAACTGATCATGCCATACACCTGTTTCTTTAATGATATGTAACAAGCTCTATAAAAATAAAGCTAAATCAAACTCAGAGAGTTTGGCCAGACCCTCAGAGGTTGGCTGTTCTCCGGCATCCAATCAGGTGTCTGACTCTTCATTTGTCGCCTGCACCGTCCATCCTTCGAGGACCCTGAGACCTGCCGAGGCTGGACCCTGGCAGATTTTATTTATTTATTTTTAGAGAAAGAAGAAAGGAAGAAGAAAGAGAGGGAAAGAAATATCAATGTGTAGTTCCCTCTCAAGTGCCCCCTACTGGGAACCTGGCCTGCAACCCAGGCATGCGCCCTGACTGGGAATTGAACCAGTGACCCTTTGCTTCACAGTCTGGTGCTCAATCCACTGAGCCACACCAGCCAGGACCAAGTATTAACATCTTAACATATTTTCTTTATCATAAACTAGCAAGTACTAACTAAGAACATGTCAAAATCTGCTCAATGAATACCATGTTACTTGTAATGAGGATAAAAAAAGCAGCACTCTAGGTATTTCTACTCATTTAAATACAAATATATCCTAATTTTATACCCTTCACTATCTCTAAAAGAAAGTCAGTTTTTTACATTTTCTTTCTCATCAAAATAGAAACAAAGTCCAACGCTGGGGGGCTATAGCCTGCAAAATTGGTTTAGCAATGCGGACCTTTGGTCAAGCCAGAGCCTGGAAGGCAGTGCGGTAGTGTGTATCTAAGTGTGAGTGGAAGGGGGGAGGTTGGAGTTGGAGTGATGAGAGAAAGGGACTGAACAGGTTCTAATGCAAACTCAGAGTATCTTCGGGAGGACAGCTTCAGGCCACACGGAGGAGCATGACATTCACCTTTCAGATTCCATTGCTGAGAGCCAGTGGCCCAGAAGTAGGGACTAGAGGTGGAAATAGAAACAGGAGACAGATGGATAAATGGAACTGCAGAAACGACCCCTAAAGGGGTGAACAAACTATGGCAACCAAGCTGGTAACTTTTTTTTTTTTGAGAGGAAGAGAGAGAAACACTGATTTGTTGTTGCACTTATTTTTTCCATTCATTGGTTGATTCTTGTATGTGCCCTGACCAGGGAGGGGATCAAACCCACAACCTTGGCATGCTAGGATGATGCTCTAACCAACTGAGCTACCTCACCTGGGCCAAATTATTCATGAACTATTTATTAACTACATCTTATGTACCAGACACTATGTTAGGCACTTTAGAGACATTGTCTCAGAAACTCTTACAACCATGGTGTTCTCATTTCTGAAGAGGAAATCAGCTAGAGAGAATACATTATTTACTTGACACTGCACAGCTATTGTAAGTGGCAGAAACAGAAATCAAGCCAAATCTGACACATTGTAAAGCTAGAACTTATATGCAAGTTAGCCAGTGAAGGAATAACACATTTGACCTCACAGTAAGGAAGAATTTGTATAGTGTGATCTTAGAACATTGAGAGTACACCTGCGATCACCTGTTTGCTTTGTTTCTCCTGCCTAGACTGTGATCTCTTTGAAGACAGGATGTGTTTCTCATATTCATCTCCCATGAAAGAACAAAATTCAACTGAGTACATTTGAGGACTGAATTGGCTTTACTAAGAGATCCATGAATCAGGTAGCATCCCATCCAGTAAGTAGAAAGCCGCTCTCACTCCCAGGAGTTATACAAAATGGAAAGTTTTTATAGTCAGGAGGGTGTGGCAGATAAGTTATTAGCAAAAGAACAAAAAGGATTATTTTCAGGCCAGGACTGCTTCTTTTGGGTGAGAAGGACTAGCAGGGATTTTATTAAGTAGGTTACCTCACTAGTTTTGATCAGGATATTTTAAAAGGATTGTTTTAAAATTCCACCCCCGGGGAGACTGAAACTGCAATTTAGGTTAGTTACTAAATTTTGATTTGGTGACAGGACTTAGCAAAAGTGACTCTTTTCTGCCGTTTCTTTTTTTCTCTAACCCTTCCAAGTACCTGATAAACGATGAACACCAATTCAGCCTTACTTATTTATTGAATATTTACAATGTGCCAGATCCAAGGCTCTGGGACAGGACTGGCTTCATGTGTGTGCAAATGAGGCAGGAGACAGCATAGGTTGAAGAACTCTGAGGCTGCATTGCTATTACTGGCCAGCGTCTAGCATCCTGGTTGCTAGGAAATGCCTTTTACCAAGTAGGTAGATTAAATAGTAAACCGAGGCAGAGAGGAGGAAGGAGATATGTCTCACACACTAACTCAGCAGTCCTGAGCCTGGTCTGATAATACTGCCAGATGCTCCAACATCACAAGAAACACCGTTAGTAAGAAAGAAGAGAAGTCCATGAAACTCTATGTAGTATTTCCACTATCTGGAAAAGGAAGCCTTGAAACTACTTTCATCCCAGGGCCTGGAATGCAGGAGAAGGTCCCCCGTGCCCAAAGAAGCAGCCCGTAAAACAATTTTGGTTAACTGTCTACCTCTGGTCACTACCTGTTTTATGAAGGAGTTCCTAATGCTTACAGAAAGAGCCCATAAATAACTTTGGGTAACTGCCCAAATTTTAATTAAGTGCATCCTGTCACATATTTGTTTTACAAGATGAACAAATGGAGTCTGGAGTAAGATAAGGATTCAGGCTAACAGACTCCCACATATACCTACGTTTGAGTAGTCACGTTCCCCCAGGAAAGCTGGCAGCACTTTTACCCGTTAATCAATATGTAACTTTTTCTCTCCTATCCCGGCCACCTATATAAGTCCTGAGAACAAAGGACGTGCCCTCTCTCTCTCTTGGGGGATCAGGGTGCTCTTGCACTCTTGGCTCCTAGGCCACTGGACTTCTGGCCAACCTAGGGCTTGCCATCCTGGTCTTCAGCTGCTCTTACTTTTGCCGCCCTGCTTTGCCCTGAAACTTTGCCTTTCACCCCTCCACCCCCACCCCATTCTACCTAGTCCTGTTCTCTTCCAAGAAAACGAGTCACTCATAAACTGATTAAACGCTAATAGATTCGATGATCTGTAATTCTTTACCTGCATCAGCAAGAAGAACCAGTTTTCTCCTGTCAACACAACTAGTGTAGTTACACCAAGCTGTATGCTCAGAATGGTACTTGATTTAATGCTCTGCTGTCCTCTTGAAATTCTTAAACTTATATTTGAACTTTTGTTTAAGACTGACAGGGCAATGGAGTATGCATGGAATGAGAGGAGGTGCACTGTGCAGGCCCACCACCATTCTTAACTAACCCTATTTCCATAAAGCTAAACATAAAATTCTGTTTTTTTTTTTTAATGTGGACCCATGATCCATGGGGGTTTAGTGAGACTCAAAGTCCCCAGATTCCACAGTGTTGGTGCAGTGTACATCAGGAAGTAAAATAAATACAGCTGAGTTAGTTTTGTGCATTTTCCATTGTTCTAGTAAGAACAGTTGTATCAGTTATGAAATACAAATTGTGAAATTTCAATGATTCTGTATGAGTTAAATGTTATGTGTGCATTTAAAACTGGTATTGCACAATATAAAGAGTAGTACAATTCATGCTGGTAGTTTAAATTTAAAAATTGTCTTTGAGTGAATAGCAAATTAATACTAATAATAGCATAATATTTAATAGCATGATCAACAATGCTATCAATAGTTAATAGCAAATTAATGTTATTAATTAAAACACCATGACAAGTCAACAGGGATTACAGAAGAAAGGAGATCACTTATATTTTAGTACCTTTAATGGTATTTTTCCCGATTTTTGAACCAGGGACCCTGCACTTTCATGTTGTATTAAGCCTCCCAAAGTACATGACTGGGCCTGCTGCTAAATATGGCAGTGGATGAGACATGTGATATCTGTCCCGGAGCTCACAATATTTCATAGACTGGAAATGCCTACAGGGTTAGAATTTTTCTGCCTGGGTTCAACAATTGGAGCAAAATTGAGTGAAGAGACCAGATTACCTTCCAGGTCTCTCCAATCCCGAGATGTTGCTAACTCTAAACTAAGAGTAGACAGGTGTAGTGGTTTATAAGATGACGCAAGAGGTCTGGAAATGGACAAATCAAACCAGTTTATTCAATTTTGTAACAACTTTGGTGAAGAAGCATCACCAAAACTAAGCTAGTTTAAACTGTCTTATCTTAATCGTGAGTAACTGTTCAGGGAACTAAGAGGAAAAAACGGAGAAAAATAATTTATCTCTAGTGATACATTAACCAACTCCTGGGAGGGGGACCCTAGTTTACACAGTGAGAGTGATCTAACAAAAGTCCAAAGGTGGAGAGGGAACTAACTGGGTGTGCCCCGGAGCAACACTGACTTCCAGTAAACAGGTTCCTTAGTTTGAGTGACAGGCAAAGCATGACCCTTTCACAGTTTTACACATTAGAGATTTTTGAAGACAAAAGTAGACATAATCTGACAAAACACACTTGGCACCACCCACCAATCCTGGACGCCAAATCAGCAAATGCAAGTCCACAGGAAACAAATCAGGCTGAGTAACTGTTTCCTCGCAGCTCACATCCATTACGCTCACTTGACCCCACAGTTTCTCTCTGTCGTTCGCCAAAATGGTCTTGGCCATAACACTTACCTAATTAGGTTAGGGAAGAACGGCCCCGAACCCGGCCTCAGTTAACCCCGCCCCCTCTGGGTTAGGAGTCAGGCTCCGCCCACTTAGAATCACTCCTCCCACCAGGGCGACCAAAATGGCGCCCCCATAATCCCGCCTCTCTGTTCTTGCCTCAGCTAAGTTGTTATCGCGAGATTTTGGCTCCACTATTAGCTGGGTCACGCGGTTGGCTCTGTCCTTTTTCTTCCGCGCAGCTGAAGAGGTAAGCGGTGGTTTCCTCTTGGAGTGCGGAGGTCGGGCGATTGCTTGGGTGCAGACCGCCGTGGTTTGGGTGCAGAGGTGACTACGTAGCTGAGGCTGGTACTGAGCCAGCACAGGTTGGTGCAAGCGGTCTGCTGACATATTTAATGAGTAAGGGAGAGGACAAGTCCACCCAGCCCTGATGCGTGTCGGAGAGGTTGCGCTTCTAACTTTTCTCGAGACACCCGCGTTGCGGGACCTTCGAGCCGATGATGTCAGGCCCTGAGGGTGGAGGGCTTGCGGTTGTTGGCTTCGGATATAGCGTTGGATTGCGACCTACGCATAAAACGATTATAGCCTGGGCGTGATGTAGAGTGTGTTCTGACCAGTACCCACTGGTCTGTAGGTGTTACCAGTACAGGTGTTCTGAGTTATTAAGGGTGAGTTATTTAATGTGAGGTAACATTTAGCCCATTTGCAGTGCCTGGGGTTGGGTGCTTCCTAGAGACAGTCCCCCCAGGGTCGTGTATTAGCGATCAGAGAGGTATTGTTAGCGCTGGTGAAGTGCATTACTTGGCCACGTGGCTTCGCAGAATCTCGAGTAGGAAAAGATATTTAAATCGGAATGCTTTCTGAGTTACGTAAAAAGTGATCTTTTGAGTTAACTACAATGTTATAATATTTTTTTAAAAATTAACCTCAACCACCACTGCCATTTAACCCAATTTGTTGAATTTCGTTTCTGATCATTTCATGACATATTTGATTTTTGCCCTAAAAAACTACAATAAAACGAGAAAATTACACGCGAATACATTGCACATTTTGAAAATGCAGGATCTGTGTGATTAATCGATCTTAATCTATTTCCTCTATTTGAAACATTTTGCTGTTAATTGTGAGATTGCCTTTTATCTGTATTCATTGGTCATTCTCAAGTATAAACACTAAGCAACAAAAATGGAAGAATGTTGAGATCATCTATAAGGGAGGTACTGTTTTAAATTAAGATGTCATCTTTATTTTAAGTTTTGCCCAAACTGTTGTAAAATATTTAAGTAGTTTTTTTAAAGGAAGCCGAAGGGCATCATTGTTGTAGTCTGACAGCCTTTCATTGATGATTGGTAATTCAGAAATTTTACATTAATACCCATAATGGCAAACATAATAAGCCAAGAAAGAGGTTTTATGGTGATTTTGTTCAATAATAGTATGAATGGGAAAAGGCCATAAGTGAAAAGCCTAGACCAGGAATTTTAAAATGGTGTGTTGGATTGAGATAGTAATAACGGTTATTTTTCTTGGTATACTGAAGCCACATTCAACCTTCTGATGTTGTATGTAAAATTCTAGGAGGTCCCATCTGCTTTTGGAAAAGGGTACATTAATAGTTGTAACTGCACATTACTATGGCTAATGATAAAATATTTTAAATGATACCATTTTTTGCTGTCATGTAAAAGTTTGGTATTTTAGGTGGGGATGATAGTATTTTTGTGGAATCTTGTTCCGCTGAATAGCTTTAGAGGCACAACTGAAAGAACCTGTCAGTGAAATTTCTAGATTTTTAGAGTTTGTTCTGAAGGATGTGGTTCCTACATAAAAGTATTAAAGGCCTTGTAAATGATATGTAATGGCATAACTTCTACATCAACTTTTGCATTGCTTGGATATTAGCTGTTTCTGTCGACAATTGTTTAGAAAAACTACATGTATATTATATGTTGTCAGAAATTTGGTGAAAGGAAAGAACAAGTTAATGGTCAAGTTTTAAGATGGACTCGGAATACCTATCAGCAACTGGTTCTCTGGACTACATAACAGCATCGGATTCAGCTATGGAAAATGAAAATCAAAGGTAAGTGCTTTTTCTTTTTTCATCAACAACAACCATCAGATTTTTACTAGAAAACACTAGATTCAAAGGTAACGTTTACCGCATTTGAATTACCAGGAAAATATAAGTCACTGTAGATAGGGAGTGGTGGTAAAGGTAATTTACAAGGATTAGGAAAGAAAAACCTTCTTTACATAGACCTTCAAAGTTTATGTACTTGTATACTTAACAGGGGAACACATTCTCAACCTAGGGAAACCAGAGTATTTTCTCTGGGCTAACTTGGTATCTCAGCTTGACTAAATCACCCTAATTTTATAACAAGAAAAGGGATATCAGTATGGACTCTTAACGTTTAGCTTAGTCTGATTATTGTACTTTATCTAGAATGCTGGCTTAGGTGTTTGATGGAGATGTCTCCTTACCTCATCCACTAACCTTACTCGTATATCAAATCAGTATTTCTAGTATAGTCACATCAAATATATTAGGCATCTTATGTTTTATTTAGAGGAGGCTTTGTTTTCATGAAAGGAACCTCTAGCAGTGAACAAGACTGCCTGTGTGGGGCTTGTATTTCTCTCAGAAGATGATTTGGTAAGTGCTATGGCATTTTGAGCCATTTTAGGTTAGAGTGACCAGGTCAGAACTAGTTGGCTAGTATGGAGCTCATCGTTGATCCTCAGCATGTTTTTCTGTTTTGGTCTGTGGAACAAATACATTACTGGTAATAGGCATTCAGTTACATAAACAGGGAAACAATTAATTCCCCCCCCCTTTTTTTTCTAGTGATAACTCTTCCTCTGGTAGCAGCTTATTTAAAACTCAGTGTGTTCCTTGCTCACCTAAACGGAGGCAAAGAAATCCTGTTAGAAAATGTGTTAGTTCACTTGAAAGTGTTCAAGCAAGAGATTCGTCCAGTGACTCATCTTTCGAACCAAGACCACTGACTTTGAAAGCTATTTTTGAAAGATCCAAGAAAAAAAAACGTAAAAAGAGGAAATACAAGCCAATAGGAAGACCAAGGGAAAGACCAGAAGGAAGGAAAATCACAAGGTCACGCATAAATAAGAAACAATTTAAAGATAACAGACCCCAGTTCCCAGTTTTAGAATCAGAGAATGGAAGAAAACCATTACCTTGGAGAAAAATTTTAACATTTGAGGTGAGTCAGTATATGTGGGTACCATAGCTAAAGTGCCTGAAATGGTTTGTTGGTCACTTAGAATTTAGCTGTACCTGACTCAGTTAAAAACCACTCAGTCTTTCAGCTCATACTCCTCTTGGGTTACTGGGTGAAATCTTCACTGGTATATTCAGTGACTATATACCTGTTTTTGAAGTGCTCCGAGGCTACTTATATAAAATCCCTTGATTTCATCCTATTGGGTTTTTAACATCATCCCTAAAACTCAAAAAGATACTCCCAATTGTAGCCTAGATCAAACCCACAATTCCTTTCATGTTCAGTGACTTCAGTAGATTTCATCTCTTAGAGATTGAGTATTCTATTTTTGACATGATTGCCTGGTAAAGTGTCCAGTACTATACACTCTGAGGTATTTGAGTTAACTTTCTAAAATTGATTATGCTATTACAATTATCCTAATTTTTCCACCTTTGTCCCCTCCTCCACTCAGTACCACTCTCCCTCTAGCAATCCCCATATCATTGTTCATGTCTTTGGCTACTACATTTTGTATATTGTACTTCTTTTCCCCTCACCTTCATCCATTCCCCTATAGTTGCCTCTTATCCGGCAACCATTAAAATGCTTGTCTTGTTTGCTTAGTTTTTTTTCCTTTTAGATTCAATTGTTGATATTATTCATTGCCATTTTACTGTTCATGGTTTTGATCTTATTTTTCTTAAAACAAGTTCCTTTAATATTTCATATAATAATGGTTGGGAGATGATTGAACTCTTCCTTTAGTTTTTCCTGTCTGGGAAGGTCTTTACCCCTCAATTCCAAATGATAGCTTTGCTTAGTAGAGCAGTCTTGGTTGTAGGCCACTCCTTTTCCTGACTTCGGATATTTCTCGCCAGTCACTTCTAGCATGCGAAGTTTCTTTTGAGAAATCAACTGGCAATTACCCATAACTGCTTTTTCACTGATTTTAAGATTCTTTAACTGTTGGCATTTTAATTCTGATGTGTCTCGAAGTTGTCCTCTTTGTGTCATCTTGTTTGGGACTCTATGCTTCTTGGACTTATATTACTTATTTCCTTCCCCAAATTAGGGGTTTTCTTTCATTTTTTTAAAAAGATTTCAAATTTCCTGCTCTTTCACTTCTTTTGGCACCTCTATGATGTGAATGTCGGACCTCTTGAAGTTGTCCCAGGGGCTGCTTATACTTGTTATTTGGGATTCTTCTACCCTTCTTGTTCTGATAGTTTTTTTTTTCTTTATAATCCAGATCATTGATTCAATTCTCAGCCTGTTTACCTGTAAATTTTTCCTCATTTCAATTATTGTATCCTTTGTTGTTGACTGGATCTTTTTTATGCAGAGGTCCTCAGTAAGTTCCTTGAGCATACTTACAACCAGTGTTTTGAACTCTGCATCTGATAGATTGCTTATACATTTTGTTTCATTATTTTTTGGAGTTTTGATCTGTTCTTCATTTGAGCCATATTTCTTTGTCTCATTTGGGCAGCTTCGTTGTGTTTGTTTCTATGTATTAGGTAGAATTGCTATGACTCCCTGTCTTGGTAGCCTAATGGCCTACATGGCCTAATGTAGGTGTCCTATAGCATCCAGTAGCACAGCCCCCCTATCACCAAGCTTGGTACTTGAATTGTGCCCTTCATGTGGGCTTAGTACACCCTCCCCTTATAGTTAAGTGAGATTGGAATATAGTTGGTAGGTTAAGGGGAGGGATTTACGCAGGCCAGTCAGCTGCAAGGACTGGCTATGACCCATGCCCATCAACCTCTGTCCTCTATGGAGCATCAGCTGTGCAGGGGCAGGGAGGTGGTGCTACATTGTAATCTGTAGCTGTCCACTAAGTACACAGGCTCTGGTTTCCCAGGTGGTGTAGGCCAGGGTCAGCTTCCACCTGTTTTGCCCAGGGCCATACAGCATGAGGTATAAAGCAATCTGAGATGGCTGCTACTTATGCTGTGCTTGGAGATTTCTAGGAGAAGCCAATCTGTGAATATAGGCTGGCTCTGGTAGTGCTGGGCCACTTGGCAAGAGGTGCGAAGGAGGTCCTGGGGGCTCAACAAGGCTGTCTGTTGCTACTTTGAGAGGATTTAGGAAGATGGGAAGCATAAGCCCAAATCAGCCAGTCCTGAAAGAGTCATGGTAACAGCTTGGGTGGGCCCCTCAGTTGGGTGAAACCAGCTTTGGGATCTCTAGGATGGGGCAGGCAGTATTAGCCAGATTGAGGGAGTCTCAGATACGGCACCCACCTGCTAGCTCTGGCTCTGTGGGAGGGTTCACAAAAGGTACAGTGGCCTGTGCCTGCCTCTCTGTGTGGGAGGAAACTGTCCCCCAGCTTTTGCCTGGATGCCAGACACTTCGATTCCTCCCTGTCTGCCACTGCTGCCTTTTAATCTGCTCCCCTGGTGCTGGAGCTCGAGAGAGAGTAAATCTAAGTCCCCTGTAATATGTAGTCAAGAACTACAGATTACAGTTCTTGAAGAGGAACTGCTTGGGATTCCAGCAGTGTCTTCCAACCTAGTCCCCACTTGTTTTTGCAGCCAGAAGTTAGAGGGGATTAATATTCCTGGCACTGGAACCCTGGGCTGGGTACCTGGTGTGAGGCTGGGACTCCTCACTCCTGAGATATCCCTCCCAAATTTTTATCCACTGCACAGGGATGTGTAGGACCATCCCAGCCCGTTGCACATCTGCGCTCCGCCTACCAGTCTGGGTGGAGGTGGTTTAATTCAGTGGTTGTCAGACTTCCATTCAACTTGATTTCTGACAGTTCTGAATAATGGTCGTTCTATAGTTGTAATTTTGATGTGTGAGGAGGTGAGCCATGTTCACCTATGTGGCCATCCTGACTGGAAATCTATATTGAGTTAATGTTTGCAGTTAGTATTTAATATTTAATTCCTTGATTTAGAATCTGATTTGAGGGGACTAATACTAGTTAATCTGTGTTTTAAGGTGATTATAATAAACTTCATAACTTAATGCCTCCAAAACACAAGATTTGTGCTTGGTTTTCTACCAAATTCAGTAACTTTGATAACTTACTAGGTAGTAGTGACTTTTTTTTTTTACAACCAGCATTTGGTGTTTATTACATGTGAGCTGCATGTGGCAAAGTAGTTAAATCAGGTACACAAAGAGTTCTTGGTAAGGAGATCCTTGCCAGTTTGGAACATAAGGACCTGCTGAGAGATGGAGGAAATTTTTATTTTGTGAGGCCATGGCTTAATAATTTTTCTGATATATAGCAAGCAGTGGCAAGAGGATTTTTCAACTACCTTGAAAAACTGAAGTATGAATACCACCTCAAGGAATCCTTGAAACAGATGAATGTTGGTGAAGATCTAGAAAAAGATGACCTTGATAGTCGTAGATATAAATACTTGGATGATGATGGATCTCTCTCTCCTATTGAAGACCCAGTGTAAGTTAACCATGTCAAATTTTGGTTATAGTTTAACAAATTTAATGTTTCTAAATTTTAATGTTAATTTATCCATATGCAGTTGATTTGCGCTGGGAGCAAATACACAGTAGGCCATCTGGGTTACTGCCGTTGAGCTATGATCTTGGCCTGTGAGAGCGAATTTTGGGTGTTAGACATGGCAGTGTAATTTTTCTCCTTGACTGGTACTGCTCAGCTGTATGTCATGACCATGTAATACTGACTGGGTTTTAGAAGATTTAGTCATCTGAGTGATGATATATTTAATGTTGCAGGGGAGAGGATGAAGCTGAAACAAACCTTGAACATGATGAATGTGATATCAAATTGGTGGTAAGTGACACTTTTACCCTGTTTCATTTTTTGGAGGGCAGAAGTTGATACAGGAGTAACTTATCCAGTAGGTATTGTCTCAGAGTCTGTATTTAATTTTTGAGAGGCTTCAATATATTTGGTGTTGAGAATAAAAAAATAGTATTTGGGGGATAGTTGAGTGTGACATGGACTTTTCATTACTAAGTTTTATATGCGGACATTGAATGAGAATAAAAGCAGGATTGAATTTTTAACATCTAGACATAGTCCCGGTTGAAATCACCTGGTAGAGTTCAGTTTTGTGTGATTGCTAAAGGGATAAAGTTTTAGTTACTGCTTAATGTTGGCATCTTTTATGCAGGAGAATAGTTACTTCATAATAAGTTCTGACTTACCAGAGAAGATGAATGCGTATTTAGAACAAGAATATACTGGAGAAGCTGCTTTGTCTAAAAAGAGAGTATCAAAGTGCAAAAACATTGGACAGAAGACAGAACAGCCTGAAATGGAGATAGGAATATGAACATAAAGGTAAAGAGACTAGAGAAAAAGAAACTTCACAGAAAGTAAAAAATGATGTATGTATGCCACTAAGGGGAAAATAAAAAGGTCTTGTAAACAAGTTTGTAAAGTAAACTGCTAAAGAATAAGTAATTATTAGAAAACATTTTAAAAGTGAATGATGTATGTACAGAAAATTGAGGTTTTCCTAGCAGAAATAATCTCTTGCAAAATAATAAGTGTCCTATTGTTTTTGCCAATACTTTTTTTAATTTCAGGACAAGAGAGCCTAAAGTTATCATTTGAGCGTTGAATCAAAGTAGAGAGATTATAGACCTAAAAAAAGGTCTTAATAATCAATAAATGACAACCTGTTATCTTTCCTTCCTATTCCTGAAATTCCCTATTTTATTCAGAAAAAAGTGACCTTCAGTGTCATGTTCAGTTCTGATAAGAACTTAATTCTCTCTTAACAGCCTAGAATGTTTTCACTTCCATCATCTTTTGTCACCACTGTATATTACCAGATATGCTGCTATATAAACCACATTTTACAATAGCACTTGTGTTTGTTTTTGCTTAATTTGTGGGCAAAGACTACATACAGGTGCAGAAATAAATCCTCTTTTGCAACCCAGAACTCATTGTTTGGTATGAGTTTTGATACATATAAGAAGGAACATAATACCTAAAACAGATTAAAGTGATGGGTCATTGATTTAAAAAAAGTTTCCAGGGCTGTAGATTGGATAATTAAAGAGCATAGGAAGTAAGGGAAACCTCAACTATACTGATTTAGTATTCCAGTTTTAATGATAATGAAACAAAAATGGCTTTTTTTGTTTGTTTGTTTGTTAGGGCTTTATGTTGAAAACACAGTTTTTGGACTTAAAGGTATGTTTATTCATTAGATGAATTTTTGGATCAGACTTGTTGAAATGTAGCACATTGTCAGATAATCTAAACCTTCATAGGAAGTTTCATCATTGAGAAACTTTTTGCCAGCTTTCCAGTTCTGTTTGATTTCAGAAAATGAATCTTAAAGAACACTAATAGTGACACTGTGCCAGCTTCACTTAACTTACAGGAAAGGGTCCCCAAACTGTCAGTTGGACTATAGCAATAATCAGAATTTTGCATATTTCTACTTTATGCCTGTAACATTTTTAATTAATGCAGGTCTAAAATGGGGTTGGTTCAATACTGCAATATTAGCAATGACTATACAGGACACAACATTTTTTAAGTTTTGATGGTATAAAGTTCTCAAATGGTAAAAACATAAATATAGCCACATCAATATTTTTTCTGTATTTTTATACCTAATATCAAGTAGCTTAAGGAGATACTTTATATAGATACTCAATTTTGAGGCAAAAATTCAGTAAAATTTTTTTTGCTGTGTAATCTGGGAATTTCATAGGTAAAACATTGCAATATTAAAGTTCATGAAAATCAAGGATATTTTTCTTTTGGATTATGGATTATTTGTAATAGCTACTTGGCATTTTGCACCTTTTTTTGGTCAGTGTATACTCTTCTAAACTACATTATTGAAATCCTTATGTGATTGTTTATGGTATGGTTTCCTGAAACTTAATAGTTAAATTTAATTTGTGAATGGGAAGATGTTTGACTATTTTTATACAGTTTTGAGCTTGAAATGACTTGAGCATGTCAGTTCTAGTAATTGTCTTCCTGTAAAGTCTTAAGATTTGCCACATCTTTTAAAATGTGTAAATGATGGTTGAGGTCTATCCCGATGGGGCTTTTTCCGTAGACCTGCATCGTTGGAAACGCCTCATAGAGTAATATGTTGCTTCCTTTATTCACAGAACTATGTGTTAGATCTGTGGGAAGGAACTACAAGACATAGCTGCTAAAATTATGAAAGATCCTAACAACTTACTTTTTTTATCTTAGGTTTTTTGTATATTTCGAAGATCTGTACTATTCTAGGTAGTGATAACTTAGGTAAGTTTTTGGTGACAATGTAAACTTTGGGTACCACTGCAGTTCAAATGATGAATGTAACTGTTCAACTGCTGAGTGATACAGACGTGAACTAAAATGTAATTCTGATAGCTGAATATAACTGTGTAGTTTTAGTTTTTAATCACACACTTGTCAAACTTTTATTTGGTGTTTTATTTGTAGGACTGATATGATACGAAGTTACTCATGTTTACAGGTAAGTGGAATGTATAATTTCTATTTATTAAGGACTTAAAATTGTGAGAAAATGCAAATTGTGAGTAGAGTAAGTCCTTACTTAACACTGTCAATAGGTTCTGCTACTTAAAGCCAATATAAGGAAGGCAGTTTGACCACAGGCTAATTGATGTAAACAAGCTAAGTTTCTATGGCGTCTCAACTTGGTAACACAACATTGAACAGAAGGGTGTTATTCAAGGACCTCTGTGCAGCATTCCATTACTGTGGCGACTAACAGTGGTTTAGGTATAAAGCAGAATTGTTAGAATCTTGGTGAAAATATTTGCTGTAATTGTATTTATATGCAGAATTGGAAAAAATGAAGAGACTGCATGTCTAGGGTTACCAAATAAAAATGTCCCCTTTTTGTACTCAGTTCCATATTGTTCAGCCTAATAACATGTAGACTTGGATATGTTAAAGATAGCAGAGGAATTCCTTCTAGTAAGAACAGTGTGAACAACTGTGATCTTTATTTTTAGTGCACAGAGACGTGATAAAGATAATGGTGACTAGGTTTATAATTTACACACAGAAATGTGGTTCCCACACTGAAATGAGGATTAGGAATTGGGGCATTTTCCACAATTAGATTTAGAGGTGTTTGTAATAGTTTGGTCACAATTGCACTGCATGGTATCTGCATTTAGCAGTTTATTCCTGCTGGGTGTTCAAAGGACAGTGCGACATAAATTCGGTATCTGGCATCGTTGGTTTTCTTGGCTTTGTGCATGTTAAACCTGGTATTTTTACTGATACAGTATTCCTATAGTTTCTTCTGTTCAGTTACACATAACTTCAATAGGAACTAATGCTTCTCTTTTTCTAGGGTGCCTGAAACTGAGAAACCAGGCAGATCCATCTACTTTGACCCTGTGTAAGGATTTTGATTTTGGTTTGTTAATTCTTGCAGCATCTTTCCTTCATTAACAGCATGTGTTGGCAGAAACTTCTATACAGATGTAGAAGCCTTTTGCATAGTGTATGTATAAGATTGAGAGACACTCTTATGAAGCCTCATTCTAGATGAAAATGGGCACTGTCTTTGTACATGTGTCCAGAAATTGTTAATGTGGCTACATTGAGACACAGGTTTTGCTTCCATCACAGTAACTTTATTGCAGTGGTGACAATGAGACCTGTAACATTTTCTGCTAGGCTCAGTGAGTAAAAACTGGATGTAATAAGTTTTCAGTATATCTTACATCACCTGCTAAAATAACCATGTACTTTTTACTATTTAACTTCTAGGGCCCTAAAGTAAACTGCTTGAGGAAATTGGACTCCAACAATTATAGGTAAGATTTTAATTTCCTTCACATTCCCTCCTAGTTTGTAAGAGACATAAACTCCCTTTATTAAATTTAAGCATTAAGGTCTTTGGCATTTATTTAATGCTTAATAGTAGCCTGCCGGTCCTTGTGGTTTGTTGTTTAAAAAAAGGCTACCATGTTTCCACTGATGTTGTGATGATGGGGAAAATGTTCAACTGCTCTGAATGGGCTGAATGAAAATAGCCATCTGAACATCCATCTGCATCAGATCTATGCCATATTTTAAAACTTTAAAGCTCTAAGGTAGAAGTTCCCTGAAACATGCTAATTTCCAAACAGCTGCCTTTGCAGTTAAAGATCAGAACTCCTTTCATAAGAATTCGGTTGTGAATGGAAATAGATTAATCAAGCCTTAATTTTAAAGTGTATTTCTTGCCAATAACTTAAGTTTAAATGAACTGGATTGAAATACACTCTAGTTAGGAACTGGTTTTCAGAAGAGTTTGGATCCCAGTCAACCCCATTTCAAAAAATTTAGCCCAGCATGAACTTAAAATTTTTTTCTCCAGGTGGGAAGGTTTTGAAGTATGTCCATATGCAAGTGGAGATCAAAGATCAACTAAAAGAATTATGGCAAGTTACTCATCTTTTTAACTTACATACCAAATTATTTGTCAGAGTGTAATGGTCATTACCAAGGCTTTTAGAATGCAGTTTCTCATTTGCCGTGGACATGACCACAAAACATTTTCCCACTAGGTTTTTTTCTGCTATATTGCTAGCATTCAGCCTATTGGGAACATTTTATTAACCCTTACTTATTTTCATTATAGGACAGTGCTGCCCTAGGCAAATAAAACACAAGCTGTATGTGCTTTTGTAATAGCCATTGGTTATCAGTGAGATTTTATAACAGCTGAGATTTCTGGAGTTTTCCAGATGACCTTTGTCTAGCTAATCCTTCTAGGGTGCTTAGTGATCAAATAGTTTGTCATCACAGGACCATCTCTATTCCTGTTACAGGACCAACTGTCATGGCAAGTGACTGGATTGAGCCAAAAAAGGTATGCATGTTAGAAAAAGATAATTTATAGGTCATTTCAAAGAGAGCTTATGTGACCAAAACCAGGAGCTCTTTACGCTGTGACCTAAGATTGAAGTTCTCCATAGGATGTAATAGACACTTAATAGTGCTATGTTTTCTTGTGGAGATACAAAATCAAGCTACTCATCAATGATTGCTGATGTGGGAATAAATGTTCCCCAAGTTTTTAACCACTGTCTACTCTTTTCTTTTTTAGGAAGTAAGACTCAGACTCGAGAAACCAAGGACTCAGAACATGTGAAATTCCTTAAATAAAAATTTATTAACTTTAAATAAATAAAAACTCTTTACACTCTTTGTACAAAGTCAGCATGTATTTTTGGCTCGAAGTTTCTCTAGTGTTTTCTGCAGAGGGAATAAAAGTAAAATTTAGCTGTTTGAGTTGTGGTGTACCTTTGCCGTGAAAAATCACTGCCAACTGCTCACCTTATGAAATTCTTTTGCCCTTGCTCTGTTTTGGGCATAAGCATCTTGCTTTGCTTTTTCTTCCTGTTGCTGTTTTACTTCAGGTAACTGATTGTATAATCTGTAAGACATTTATATGGAATTAAAGACAAATACTTCAGAAATGTGAATTATCATCCATACATATATGCACACACATATACCTTAAAGCCCTTTGCTGCATGAGGGCTTGTGCAGACTTTCTGTTCTCAGGAAGTGACACTCTAACTTTGTTCACACCCTTTAGGTGACTCACAGATGAACCTGAATAGAGAGTAATTTGCTGAGCAAACAAGATTCCCTTTCTGAAAATGCATACAAATGTGTTGGGAACAACATACCTGTAGGATTCCCCTTGATTACTTGGCTTCCAGAATTTTTAGAGACTTGTCTTTTTTTCCTTATTTCTCTCTGTCTCTGGCAGGATCTCTCTATAAATGATTTTTTCCTTTTTATAAATGCTTCTTGTAAGCTTTCTGGTGCAGGTGTAAACTTTGGAAGGGTTTCTGTTAAAAAACAAGCTGTTTCACCTCATTGGACTTCATAAGCCAGCAACAAGGTTGGTGACTTAACTTGAGTAGGGGATTCCCACTAGCCCTTGGGTGCTGAAGGCATACCTGAAGACGGTGCAGTTGGCTTCTCCACAGAAGGCTCTGATACAGTTGGATAACTTGAATTTTCTATTTCTGGTACAAGAGGCAGAAATTCACTCACCTAATTCCAAGAGTCATAGATGAAAATATGAAAGATGAAAGTATTACTACTTTTCACCTCAATGTACAGCAAAAGTTCTAAGACAATACAGCGAGAACCTGATCCAGCAGCTTCAGGAATGATTTTTTTTTGGCAAGGGGAGTCTTCAATAAAACTTAAAGTGCTTTATTTGACCATCAGCACTACGCAGTTGCCAGCCCTCCACCCAAGGCTACTTTCCCATCTTAACCCTAGACAAAAGCTTTTGGTTTTTCTTCACCTCATTACCTGTGAATTATCTTAGAGGTGAAGTCCATTCTGATTTGGCAATAGGACACATAATCAAGACTTGCATATAATCAAAGTCATTAACCGGGATGCCTCATTACCTGTGAATTATCTTAGAGGTGACGTCCATTCTAATTTGGCAATAGGACACATAATCAAGACTTGCATATAATCAAAGTCATTAACCGGGAGCATTTACTAAGTTAATAAAATTATGTGCCAGTCAATAGACCTCAAAACATTTTCAAAATAAACTTCTAAAGCAGTGGCATTTAACTGTATATCTCTACCTTGGGTCTGGATTCCCTTAACTATGTGCTGGAGCACTGTACTGCCTCTGATTACTTTGGAACCAAATAGCTTTCATTGGGAAAAGGAAGGCAATTTTTTTCAAGTCTGAATGAAATCTATAGCATCAGGAATGTATGTGGAAGTAGCATTTAAAATCTTGCTCCCTGGCATGTGGGACCACTGCTAGCTCAAATTACATGTATGTATATTTTGGCAAATCACATACTAAAACATTGAGGGGTTGAGATGCTTTTCCATTTCCTGTCAGCTGTCACTTTCTGCTGTAAGCACATTAAGCCTCTCCTGTTCACTTTGTATATAGTTCACTGCACTTGTACTAGACCAAAATATGGGGGAGGAAATTAGTTTGCAAATAATTTATAACAGAAATAACATGGAGAAATACAAGTGAAAAGCGAGTATCCCTTTCTGCTTCCCAATTCTCAGCTATGGGTTTACTGTATAAGAGGTATACTTATATTGAGAGGTATACTTATTTACCTGTAAGCTTTCTCCCTCATTCTTTTCTTCTAGGGTTAGGTTTGCAAAATCCATTTCAGCAATACTGACATCACTGGTGCTTACTAACGTAAGTTCTGGTTCTTCCATTATACCATGGCCAGACTCTGTCTCCTGTAAAATTAAAAAGTAAACCGTGTCAAAAAAGAATAGCCTTGGCCCTGCTGTTGCGGCTTAGTGGACTGAATGCTGGCCTGTGAACCAAAGGGTTGCTGGTTCAATCTTCCAGTCTGGCCACAGGCTTGGGTTGCAGGCCAGGTCCCCAGTAGGGAGTGTGCAAGAGAGAACCACACATTGATGTTTCTTTCCCTCTTCTCCCACCCTTCTCTGTCTAAAAATAGAATGTTAAGACATGCAAAAACCAAAACTAAAGTAGCCTTAAACATTCAAAGATGTGAAAATGTATGTTATGGGGGAAGAACAGAACATGGCAGTGCACCTCCACTTTTAGAAATACTGGGGAGGACTTGTGCCAGGTGAAGTTATGTGATCACTATTGGAAAATATGTTCTGTAAGGATTACAGACAGAGGATTGCAGGGCTAGGCAGCTACATGGAGGTTAACGTGGCGGGGGGGGGGCAGGGCGAGCGACGGCGGGGGACTATGGAGAACCAGAGGGTGTAGCCTATCTAAAGGGCTGCAGCCAAATGTAGACCACTGCTGCCAGACTAATTTTTTAAGGGAAATACTGTCTTTTAAACATTGAACAAAAATTTACTAAAACATCCAAAAGCCAAATCTGTCTGTGATCTACATGTTGCCCTTATTTTCTGTTTCTATTATAACACACTTATGTGTGGAAGGACAAGACTGTATTCAGGTAATGAATTGAAACTGAACTGGGGAGCTGTGGCACACTGGTATATCCCAAGAATATGTGAATGCAATAGCTGACCATTGAGTCAGGGGCACTGACCTCCTTTCCTTTAGATCGTCAAATAAAAAAAATGACAATAGCCATCCACTGTGAATGAATCAAAATCATACATTTTGGGGGGGGTTACGTCAACAAAAAATATATTTTTGGGTGTGCTGGCAGAATTTCAGTAACTAGGGTGTGTGTGCCATGAGAGAAAAAGGGCTGAAAATAGCTGGACTAACTCAACGCAGGGCAGCGAGGTGGAACACTGCCGGTGCTGAGGCACAGGCTGGCCACCATTCCTCAGGGGAGCTGACAAGGGACATGAAAATAGGGAGGAAAATCTTTTGTAAAATTCAGAGATCTCCAAATTAGACATTTCTGATGATTATGAGACTATTTTGGTTAAGTTTATTGATTAACAAGTAGCTTTCTTGTTTCTCTTGGATTTGTTTCAGAAGTCCTCCTGGATCTGGATTTTTATACTCGCTGCTTATTTTTGTTGTTGTTTTGGGGTATTATTTTGTCCTCCTTTTCTACCTCTGAATTGAAAATATTTCCTATATTTTAATAAGTTTATTCTTGCTGGTTTGGAAACTACATTTTATTTACTCTTAAGTAGTTACTCTTAAGTTCATAACATGCACACTAAACTATATATGTGTGTAGATGTGTTTTTGACCAGTAATCTTGAAATAAAAACAGAAATACTAGTTTTAAAAAGTTTTTCTGGAAAACCAGTCTAAATGCTATTTATACAATACAGATTCCACTCACCCAGACTGGAATAGAGTTCTGTAGTGAAAATGATCCAGAATTGAAAAAGACCTCTGAATGTGATGGTTGAGATAGGTTTGGGATGATTTGTGGAGTTTCTGCTTTAGTTGAGTTATCAAAATATTTTTCATTCTGAACAGTTAAAGAATACGGTAACTGAACTGAAGTCCCCATTTCTACCATTCTTACACATAATTGTGAGTCAATTTCTTGTACATGTGGATTTACACGTAAAACTCCACACATTTCGTTTTTATCCTCTTCAGTGAATCCTTGACTTTGTGACACTTTATCAATCTCTCTTCGTGATAATTCTTCAAACTCCAATCTTTCTTTTCTGCCTTCTAACTGGTCGTTCAATGAGCACTCACTGTAAGTAGAACCAAATGGAGTGATATGTTGTAAGTTTAACTGATGAAATTCATTAGCCTCAGCAGATGAACTGAAGACTGAACTTTGCAAATTTCCTGCAGAGAGCTGGAAATGAACATTTTTTCCTTTACTTTGTAATAGGTCAGTTGGTTCAGAGGAGTAGTTCTGGTTTTCCATGTCTTGGGAAGAATCTCTTGCTTCAATGCCAAAAATACTTGGTAGATCAGCATGTTGGCTCCCTTCTTGTGAAGAAAATTCTGGCAGAAGCTGTTGAAAGGATTGTTCAGATCCTGCAATAAGAAGTTTAAGATATCAGGGACTTCCAGCCAAGATGGAGGTGTAGGTGGAAACACTGTACCTCCTCGCACAACCAAGTTTATGAACAACAAATATTTAAAAACCAGGATGCAACCAAAACAGAGAAAATTAAACTGTACCAAAGTCTGACAACGAACCATTCATTCAGACCGGTAAGAGGGGTGGAGTCGGGGGGGTTGCATAAGAAAAAGCAGCGGGACCTACCCAGGCGCACAAGCGGTGGTTGGCAGATCCCAGGCATGGGGTGGCAACAGGCAGACCCAGTGAGGTGGAAGGTGGTTCGCTGACCACGGTCACACATTCACACGCAGATGAACCAGGTGAAAAAACGAACAGTGAGACCGCACAATGCAGGGCCCAGTGCCAGGAAATAAAGCCTAAAAGCACCAATTGGAAAAACTTTTGGGGGTCGAGGTGCCAGGAGAGGCTCCCAGGCTCACAGACAGTTCATTGGAGAGACCCACAGGGTCCTGGAGGGTGCACAGGCCCATACACCCAGTAACCAGCACCAGAAGGGCCCAATTTGCTGGTGGGAAGCAGCAGAGGGGACCAAAATCCAAGAGAGAGTGGAACAAAGGCCATTGCCCCTCTCTGATCCTGCCCCCGCATACAGTGTCACCCCGCCCTGGTGAACACCTAAGGCTCCGCACCTCATACCAAGCAGGCGCAAACAGACCAAAACATTATGGCTCAAGAAGAAGAAAAGCTCAAAGCTCCAGAGCCAGTATTTCTAAGCGACCAAGAGAT